GATACTCTTAAGTGAAATAAATAGGACACACATATATAAATACTGAATAGTTTCTCTAGTGTGAGAGACTGAAAGTGCAAATAAGGACTAAAAGGTATAATAGATAATGTGAAATAGGAAGAAAAGGGGCAAAGGGGAAGGGGAAGTAGGAGAGGTAGGGGAAGGAAAGAAGGGAATGGAATTAAAATGAGAAAATTAAAAAATGGAAAAAAAGTCTTTGTAAAAAGGGAGGGATGGAGGGGTTGAAGGGAGGGCAGGGGAAGGGCAAAAAATAGGAACCAAGAGAGACTACATAAAGGTGCAAATTCCGAATGATGAATGTCATTATATTGAATACCTAAAATGTACCAATGATTAGAATGAATGATTGGTAATGCGAAATAGGAAGAAAAGTTCCAAAGGGTTAGGGGAAGTGAGAGGGGAAGGGGAAAGGAAAAATTATGAGAAATGGAAAAAATGGCAACAAAGTCTTTGCAAATAGGGAAGGGTGGGCTAGGAATGGGGAAAAAATAAGAACCAAGATGCATCATTTTAAGGTACAAGTTCCCAATGAGAAATGTAAATGTTTTTTATACCTAAAATGTACCAATAAAAGAATTTTTTTAAAATAAGGATTTATGAGAAAACAATATGCAATATATGTGTATTTGGTCTGGTCTCTTTCACTGGACGTAATTATCTTGAGATTTACCTATTGTCGCATGTATTAGTAATTCATTCCTCTTTATCACTGAATGTATTTCATTGTCTCAATGTACAGAGTCTGCCAAAAATAAAAATCTATATAAACTTTAGCAGTTCGCCGTACTAATAAATGTCTGGAAGCTAATGGCCACCACTTTGAACACCTCTTATAATTTTAGAGGCCAATGGCAGCTTGTATTAATCTCATAATGCCACAGTAAATTTAGTATTAAAATATTTTATACAAGTTTGTCTTTTTTTGTATGCATTTTGCGGGGGGGACTCTACGATTTATGCATCAGCTCTTTGGGACATGTGGCTGTTTCATGTCCATTAATATTTGTTTTGTATAGTTGGGGGCATTCGTATTCGGTGCATATATATTTAGAATTGTCATCTCTTCCTCTTGGGGTGTTCCCTTCACAAAGATGTAGTGACCATCTTTGTCTCTCTTAGTTAGTTTTGGTTTGAAATCTACTTTGTCTGCAAATAAGATTGCTACCCCTGCTTTTTTCTGGGCTCCTTTCGCATGGAGAACTGTTTTCCATCCTTTTTCTTTCAGTCTATGAAGTTCTTTTTGAGTTAAGTGTGTTTCTTGTATACAGCTTATTGCTGGATTTTGCTTCCTAATCCATTCTGTCAGTCTGTTTCTTTTGATTGGTATGTGCCTGTTTATAGGTTTGGGCCATTTCAAAGAAAGCTGCTATGAACATTATATACAAGTTTGTGTAGATTTACTGCTTTCATTTCTAGACTAGAAGTGGAGTGACTAGGTTTTAATATGTATGTATGTTTACCTTTACAAGAAAGTTTCCAACTGTTTTCCCAAGGATTATGTCATTTTTCCATTCCCATCAGCAGTGTATGAGAGTTCTAGCTGCCCTATATCCTTGTCTACATTTGATATGATCAGTCTTTTTAATTTTAGCCATTCATGTGGGGTATGTTGTGGTATCTAGTTGTAGTTTAATTTGAATTTCCCTAATGATGATTGATGTTGAATATCTTTTTATATGCTTATTTGCCATCTACAAATTTTCTTTGAAGGTCTATTCATATGTTTTGCCTTCCTTTTATTTGGATTTTTATGCTTTTATTGAATTATAAGAGTGTTCTAGATATGTCATTTGTTAGATTTAAATTTAAACATGTGAATGTTTTACCGTGGTTGTAACTTGTCTTTTTATTTTATCACTGTTTCTTGAAGTATAATTAAAACTATAAAGAACAGTTGATTTCTTTATAGTTCATGTGGTTGTGTATTTGTATGTTTTCCTATCACTGTTTGTCAGCTTTCTGCCACTAGAACAAAACACCTAACATAATAAAAAAAGGAAAGACTTATTTTGGCTCACAGTTTCAGAGGTTTCATTCCATGCTCATTTAACTCTGTTGCTTTTGGTCCTGTGGTGAGGCAGAACATCATGGGAGGGAAGTGTGTGGCGGAGCAAAGCTGTTCACTTTATAGTAGCCAGGAAACAAGGAGAGAGAGGGAGAGGCTGGGGTCCCAGTATCCCCTTCAAGGGTCTACCTGATGATCTAACTTCCTCCAACTAGTCCCCACCTCCTCTAAACAGCACCATCATCTGGAGCCAAGCCTTTAGCACATGAACTTTGGGGGACATTTAAAATTCAAACCTCTAACCACCACTAAAATTTTGTCTTTTTTTTTCTTCTAGAAGTTGCATAGTTTATTATTTTGTTGTTGTTGTTGTACTGGGGATCGAACTCAAGACCTTGGTGAGGCAAGTGTATGAAATGTTAATATATTGACATACTTTCATTTTTACCAATCAGATAAGTTAAACATATCAGTATAGTTCTCATTTATATTTCTCTGATTATGTGAGATTAAACATCTTTTTTTATGTTTAAGTGTCATTTGAAAATAATTTTGTGAATTGTCTTCATTGTCCATTTTTCAAGTGTTTTTCATCAGTTTCTAAGAGTTCTTTATAAATTAGAGATACTTGCTTTTTTTTTTTTTTTTTT